TACGTTTTTATGTAAAATAAATACATAAAAATGCATACAGATTGTTTGTAATTTTTTTTAAAATACGAAAATACATTTTGTTTTTTTAAAAAAAATATGTTTTGTAATTTATTTATTGCTTATGTTTTAACGTTCTACTTATTATATAAATTAGTATTTGGAAAATATAAACCAAATATACATGCAGCCCAACCGGTTAAGGCTTTGGCCATTTAATAGGTGGAGGTCTCAGGTTCGATCCCTCTTCCCATCCTTCAGCCATACCCTAACGGCTGAATACTAACGGAGTTAGTAAAAAGGGCCATCTGTGCAAGTTTTGCAAATCACAAGGACCATTTGTATAAAAAAAAATTAACAGGGACTGACTTTGTGACTTTTGGTAAACCACATGACCATTTTTGTAATTTTGTCAAAATGAAATGACATTTTATTCTAATAGTTTCTATATAACCTTTTCTTAGCTAAACCGATTTCGGATCGGATCCAACCAAAATCGGATAACAAGTTTTGTTTTGCACCTCAACAAATGATCAACTTACTTGTCAAAAGGGAAGTCCTAGTATAATCTCCTTTTTATTATCTTTGTTAGCTATTTCAATTGTCATCATGAGTAACTTGGTTTTTGATTATCAAACGATTTTACATAAGATAATTGCTATGCCGACACTACTCCAAGCCATTCCTCATTCTTCTCAATTACAAAAATAAACCATGGCTTCAATATACTTTTTTTTTGTCACACTATCTATTTCTGCTTGTTCACGAAACTCCCATCTGTATTATATATATTATATTATATATAGTATATATATATATATATATATATATATATATATATATATATATATATATATATTGTTTATCTTTGTTTTATGCAAAATACTTTTGTAAATTTATTGACTCATTGTCATGAGATATTCAAAAGGCATGCATAAACAATTTTAGTATGATAAAGAATTGTAAGGCATATTATCAAACACGAGATAAACGAAGCTTTTAACGGAAATTCAGACAATGTCACGGTCCACCGCCGTCTTAAGAAAATGTTGAGAAAACTCCGATCACGGCGGCGGCCCCGCTACGGCACCCATGTCTGCGCCTTCATCGCAGCCTTCCTCCTACTTCTCTCCGTTTCTATTCTCTACAATCGCCTCAGCACCGATCGCCATTCCCATCATTCCCGACACCATAACTCCAACGAACTAACTTTCGATCCCCTCCTCGAAGAAGCCGACCCTAATGATAGGAACTCCTCCGACGACCGGATCGACGAGCTTGACGATGGCGTACAGGAAGATCCAGATTCTAGGGTTCAGGACGAGGAGGACATTCTCAGAAATCTAGATGCTGACGAAGATGAAAATGATCAGTCTAGGGTTTCAAAATACTACTTCGATCACGTTCAGGGCGTGATTCGACGCTCTTTTGATAAGCGGTCGATTGATCAGTGGGAAGATTATGCTAGTTTCGATTCGAATTGGGATAGTAGTACAACCAGCATTAATCTGGCATTTAGTTCGGACGATGTTGCTTTGGATGATAATGTGAGGAGGAAAGTAGCGGAAGTGAAGGGGATCGAGGATGCACTTCTGTTGACAGTGGGGCATAGGGTTTCGCCATTAAGGGAAGGCTGGGGAGATTGGTTTGAAAAGAAGAGCGATTTCTTAAGGCGAGATCGGATGTTCAAATCAAATCTGGAGTTGTTGAATCCTTTAAACAATCCATTTTTACAAGATCCTGATGGGGCTGGAGTTACAGGTCTCACCAAAGGTGATAAATTGATTCAAAAACGCATCATTCATGAATTCAAGAAGGTACCTTTCACCAGTAAAAACCCAGACAATCCAGATACCAAATCCAAAGGAACCAACGGACTATCAGAAGAAACGAAAGGAGAGGATTCGAAGGTTGAAAGTGTTCATAAAGCTAGCAAGGCTGAATTGAAGACTGCAGAGAGGAGAACATTGGATGACAATGGCGATAGCAAAACACAATCTGAATTTTCTGGTCAAATCTATGCAGATGGGAAGAGATGGGGTTACTTTCCAGGTTTGAATCCTCGTCTATCTTTCTCCAACTTCATGGATGCATTCTTTAGAAAAGGAAAGTGCTCAATGAGGGTATTCATGGTATGGAATTCTCCACCATGGATGTTCAGTGTTCGACACCAAAGAAGCCTCGAAGGCCTCCTCTTCCATCATCGAGATGCTTGTGTTGTAGTCTTCTCCGAAACATTAGAGCTCAATTTCTTTGATAGCTTTGTAAAAGACGGGTAACTTCTCAATTCTCACTTTTCATGGCCAAATATCAACTTAAATTACATTTTCTGATCTCTCTCTTACACTCATACAATTCTACTCATTAGTATGATTCTTTTATAGTTTCAAGGTTGCTGTTGCAATGCCAAATCTGGATGAGTTGCTGAAAGATACACCAACACATGAATTCGCTTCTGTTTGGTTTGAATGGAGAAAGACAAAGTTTTATCCTACTCATTACAGTGAACTTATCCGCCTTGCTGCCCTTTACAAGTAAGCAACTTTCATATCTCCAATTGTTTCTTTTTAGTGCTTCTTCATCACCATTAATGGATTTTCTTTTTCTTTGTTGTTATCAGATACGGTGGGATCTATCTTGATTCTGACATTAAAGTCCTTAAACCACTTCATTCTCTATCCAATACAGTGGGCTTTGAAGATGATTCATCAGAAAGTCACTTAAATGGAGCAGTGATGGCATTTAAAAAACACAGGTAACAAAATGTCACAATTGACTGAATGTGTATTTTTGTTTTTAACTTTTTATATTTGAATGATAATGTTTTGGAAATTATTGTATACAGTATGTTTATAATGGAGTGTTTGAAGGAGTTCTATGCAAGTTATGATGAAACCAGCTTAAGGTGGAATGGAGCTGATCTTTTAAGCAGAGTAAGAACAAAGTTTCTACATGAAGAAAATCGTGTGAAGAATCAAAAGGAACTGAAACTTCAACCTTATTCGGCTTTCTTCCCTATAAGTCATAAGAATATTACAAGGTATGTGTGTGTGTGTTTACTTATTATATTTCTTCATTTTACATTTAGTTTGATACTTGTTTTTTGGTTTTGGTTAATGAAATAGATATTTCAGAGCACCTACAACGGATGTTGAAAGATTTGATGAAGATGGTTTGTATAAAAAGATTGTTAATGAGTCATTTGCATTTCATTTGTGGAACAGTTTAACACATTCTTTAGTTCCAGAGCCTGAAAGCCTTGTATCAAGGCTTATCAATCAACACTGTATCCGTTGCTCTGATGTGTTGTAAATTTAGAATCCCTTATTATATATTAGATGTAGATGGGGATTCACAGAGTGTAAATTATTTTTGTTAGAAGAGCTTATAATTGTATGATTGTATTTTTTTTTTCTTTCCCAAATGAACACTGTTTTATAAATTACTAAAGAAGATTGTATAATGATTTGAATTTTCTTGGAATCTTGTATAAGAATAAATTCATGGTAAAACTGTTGAAAGACCACATTTCCAAACAAACTTAGTACAATTCCTAGCTTTTGTAGACTTGTGGTGAATATTGTTAAGCTATTTAGGCCTATAAATACATGAAACCTTTTACCATTTTGCAATCAAGCAAACAAAATCATCCTGAAACTGTAGAAGCGTTCTTAGAATTTTATTTTCAATCGTTCTTACTTCCTCTCCGACTTCCATTATGATTTTTCCCCTACCAAGCCTGTCCTCCTTAGTATTTTCATCTAATACTCTCACAACCGAAGTATACGTGGACATAGAAGTTTAGTAGGTTATAAGAAACCACTCAAGGCATGATGGTTTTAAACTATAGATAAACTAATGTCTCCCATTTCTTACCAAATGAATGATGCCATATCTAATAAAGGTGCATCGTTTTTCCTAGCTTCGGTACACTGTTGCAATCCCAAATCTACACAAATGAAACTATTATCATGATCTAGAATAAGGTACTGTTTATTTTTTGGCAAAAGGTCGTTTTAACCTTTTATGTTTGCGGGAGGAAGGACATTTGCGGAAAAGACTATTTGTTTTTCAAAAGACAAAAAACATAAAAAAGTCTTTTTGTCATTTTTTTCTAGAAGACACAAAAACTTATGATTTTGGAACATGTTTCCTAAGTTCTAACCCTAATGTGATATTTCTTTTTCCATCGCCACCGATGCCACCACCGCCGCCAACCAACACCAACACCACCATCGCCACCATCACCAACACCACCCATCTTTTTTATGAAAACTTTGAAAAACAAACAATTTTTTTATGAAGACTAGAGATATCGAAAAAGACTTTTGGTCCGAGGTAAATGTAACAATTGAGTCTGACCCAACCAAACTTCCATATATTGACGTGTACTTTCTACATGTGGACGATGTGTGCTATGAGAAATTATGGCTTGGATCAGGACATTAGGATGGATACCACCTAAAAAACCATCTTCTATATATTGGGAATGTTCAGATCAAACAATAAATAAAGATTTTTTTTCCTAATTATCATTCCAACATCATTGGTAATGTTCCGATCGAACTAAATTTTGAGAACACCATTTTTTATCCAATTAAAAAAACCTATAACTAATTATAACTTACAAAGAGTTCTAACAAACAAAAGCTTACCATTTATGAAAAGATAATAAAGTACCAAACTTGGTTCTTCTTCGCTGCACATCTCCATCATTCATTAAACATTGATGGATACTTAAATGACTTTTGGCATTGCTTTTTAAACATTTAAATGACTTTTGGCAAAATGAATTATTGACTTATGACTTTTTAAAAAAGGAGCTTATAAAGATGTATTTGGATTAACTTTTGTAGTTGGAAAAATCAATAAGTCAATAAGTTAAAAAATGTTTGCATAGCTTTTATATGTAAAATGACCCAAAAATGACTTATGACTTTTCCAAAAAGCTAGGTTTTTGGAACTTCTAACCTCCATTTTCTACCTTGCCACAAAGTCATTTCAAAATGAATTTTCAAGAAACCAAACACCTTTTTAACTTATTGGCTTTTTGAAAAAGTCAATAAGTTAATAAGTCAATTTAAGAAGCAATCTCAAACACCCACTTACATTTGTAGATCATACCTCTTTAAGAGTTGATTATGAAGATGGTCTCCCAATAAATGGATGAATGCATGTCCCTTTTTAAGTGCAAAATAGCTATGACGTCTCGTGGAGTAACAAGCGAGATAAAATAAGAGCGATGTATAGTGAGAAAGCTCACTCGTGCCTTTAGAGTTTAGAATATAACGCCTCTTTTTACATCCCACCCCCTAGACAAATATGTTGAATAAGTTGTCTAAGAAGATGCTACAAGCCATTGATGTTCTTTTGAGTTTTGATGATGAATCAATTTGTCATTTATAAAATAATATACTTGTATATTGGAAGTATGTATCATATAACAAGATATTGAATGAAACCATGTCTATTTTATATATAATTACCCATTTAAAAATTGTATACCTTTTATTTGAAATATGTATTTAGATTCTTCTACCATTCGACCAGATCTTCTAGATTGTATTCTCATTTTCCGGCCTCTAGCAACATGCAATTTCAGTAAAAATTTACCATGGTGTCTTCATTTAAGGAAACAATCATACATTTAAAAACTAATTTGTTTATATTGATTTGGTAATACACTTGTAAATTGATTAATGATGTTTTATAAGTTGTTTTGTTAAAGAAACAAACTATAAGGTGTATAGAGATTCCTTAAACCCCGTTACTATATTATACTAGGTGTAAGACTCATGTATTATATGAGTTAATTAAAAAAAATTAAATATAAAAGTCTAAATATTTAAGAACTTTGGATTTATAAGAAAATAAGAAAAATAATGAATTATTACAACTGATTTTTTTTATCTTTTAAATTTAAATAAATAAGCAAAATAAACTAATAAGCTTTAATTTGAGAATTTTGAAATAAGAATGTAAGTCCATTAATGAAATTGATATTCATTTATTACTATATTTATTGTAATTATTACATATTATGTGGAATTTATTAAAATAGAAAAACTCATAAAATGACATGTGGAAAAGAAATTAATTCAAAATAACCACAAAATGATATTTGACAAATTGAATGAGTGTGACATGTGGAAAAAAAACATTTATTTATTAGAGTAGATATATATCTAATTATAAAGTGGAAATAAATAATATACTTTTTAGTTTTATGTTTTTGGCCATAATAGTTTAGTATTTTAGCACTTTTAGTCCCTATGTACAAAAGAAAATACAAAACCAGTTCTTGTAATTTATAGAAAAGGTCCTTGTGTAAATTAACTTTACATAAATGTTCCATGTGTTGAAGATTTTTGTATGTTGGCAGATTTGATTCGTATGTAGAAAATAAATTACCAAAAACGTCCCGATATTTTACAGAAAAGGTCCATGTGTATTTTTTTTACAGAAATGGTCCATATGTTTAATTTTTTTTGCAGATTACGTTTAAAAGAATTAAAAAAATAGTCCATACATTTTCTACTGAAGTGTCGATTGTCGGCAATGAAATCTTCATCAGGTTCTTCAACATCGATGTTATGTGTATGATGACACTCCCGCTAACATTCTTTCTTTTTATCTTCTAAAATATCGTGCTACACGTGGAGGCGAGATATTTAGAATAATTATTTGGTGTTGATGATGTTGTATCAGTTGGACTGGTTGGAGTGACAATAATCTCTTAAATTATTTCTTCGTTATCTAAACATCACATGTAATTATGCAATGCCCCCACTTTATGGCTATTTGGAGAATACACTTATGTGAGGAAGTTTTGACATTCAAGCCCTTTGTATACACGAACCATAACCTTTTCTCTTCTGATGGTTTTATATAACATACTTTAATTTTGAAAGCCATAGTTTCATAGGGACAAGGTATCATATCAAACTTTGATTTACTACCTCGTTCCATCTCGGATTTTCTAGACCGGTAATTGTGTCTTTTGTTTGAAAAATGTTGTTTTTTTATCTTCCCCGTGGCACTTGTGAACTACGATGCATGGTTTTAATAAACTCCACATGTTAATAACCCCACCAACATGTAAACCATGTATGGTGTAGAGAACCACTTTCGTCGACATTTTTGAAAAGTTGCACTTCTTAATTATAGAAGAACATAAGATCGAAATTTTTTTGACTTGCTATACAATTTGTTGCTTTTTTTAGTATTTAATACCCTCAGATAATAAGACTCCACCATGTTTGGGGTTTGTTGATAAGACCGATCATTGTTGTTCATTGATGTTTGTAAGATTTATTGTGTTTTATGTTTTATTTATTCATATCTGAACTAGATTATGTGTTCTTTTGAAATAGCTGCAAGAATAGAGATGCAAATGCTTCTCTAAACGATACATGGGTTACATGTTGATGGGGTTATTAAAAGGTGGAGTTTATTAAAACTATGCATCACGGTTACAAGTGCCATGGGGGAAGACGAAAGTAACATTTTCGACCGAAACACACAATTATCAGTTTAGAAGATCCGAGATGGAATAAGCTAGTAAACCTAAAGTTTGACATGCCTCTATGTCCTTATGAAAACATTGTTTCAGTAATTAAAGATATGTTTGATAGAACCTTTGGAAGTGAAAAAGTTCTAATTTGTGTATACGAAGAGATTGATTGTCTTAACTTCATCACATAAGTGTATTCTCCAAAAGGTCGTGAAGTGGGGGCATTGTGTAAACCCATCCTCTATGGAAGATGTGAATATCGATGGTTTTGTACCATCCCAGAATGGTGATCTCATTATTGGAGATGGAAATGACAAGGGTTTAATGGAAGTTTCTTCTTAGGCGGGAGAGGATGAATCCTGTTGGGATTGGAAAATTCTTCTATTCAACATAAAATAGAATTGCAATAGGAGGAGCAACTCTCACACTCAACTATTACAAAAAAAAACCAACTGTCTTTCTAACACTCCCACTCTAGTGTTATGCTATGTATTTCTCTATGTTTTGGGTTGCATGATTACTGATGATGAAGCCTCTATTTATAGTCATGCAAGCCAAATTTCTCCAGACATCATTTATTGTGTTCACCATAAGGTAGGAAGAAAAACTTGCCACACTAGCTTCTTCATTGTTAACAAAAGGGGCTACTGTAGCTTTGGAGGCTGGAATACAACAAATCTTCCCCTCCAGTCTCCTTCCAGCAATCCTCAGTCCAACTATGTCATCATATAGTTTGTGTTTCTTTTGTGTCACCACCTTGGTCAACATATCTGCAGGATTGTCATTTGTGTTGATGTTGGACAACTTCAATTATCATCCCTTGACTGCTTTTCTAAGTCAGTGATAACGAATATTTGTGAGTATGGTACATTGAATTCTTGCTTAGGTCCATGGCACTCTGACTCTCGCACTAGATGATGTACTCTTCATGTGGAAAGCCTAATTCTTGAAGAAACTGTTTTAGCCATAT